TCTATTTCTAAATAATATATTAACAAATCATTTTCATAATTTTCAATTAGTTTATTAATCATATAATAATATAATAAATTATATTTCTCTCCTAATACCATTTCTAACTATTTCTTATTATGAAGGCAACATAAAAAGGACTTTGCTTCCAATTACAAGTATACACCAATTTAACTATTAACTTAGACACTTTAATTTAACAATTGTATAGTTGGTTGGTTAGTCTATGTACTTGTTATGTATTGGATCCTAAGGGAAGTTGGTTGTAAGATCTTATGCGATTATGTGTTGGATCCTAAGGGAAGTTGGTTGTAAGACCGTATGCTATTATGATAGATAGCTGGAAGTTCAACATATCTTTAGGATGATGACATTGAGTTTATAGGCCCATAGATGTGTTGACTATAAACTAATGATGGTTAAAAGTTCTACAAGTCTTTGAGATGATGACTTATGCCTATAAGCCCATTTAGGTGTTGACTATGAGCCTTGTATGTATACATTATATATGTAATGTAGTATGTGGTATTTTGGGGAACTCGCTAAACTTTGGTTTATAGATGCACATTAAATGCTTTTAGATAATTCTTCTGATCGTAGGAGGGATCCAGCTTGATTGCACTATACATGCATCGCAAATGATCATGTTTCTAGATTTTTGCCGACTATGATGATTTACGTACTTATTTTTCCCATTATAGGATGTTGATACATTGATACTTGATTTGATGATGTTTTTTTTAAACAATTTATTACTTTGATCTTTTTATGAAGAAGTTTTGGAAATTTTTGATTTTTTTTTTTTTTAAATTGGTTGAAAAGTGGGACGTTATACTTATCCTAGTTTTATTTTTGTTGTATTAGACACCCTTTTAATATTCATTTTTATTATGTTTGTCGGATACAATATTGCAAATATCGGGATCCTATATGATATTGTTTTTTGCTTTGCAAAATCTTGATAGTAAGATCTAATAAGAATAATAAAATCATCCTAAAAGTAGTTTAAAACATAAAAAATAAATATTCGACGGTTAACCATTCATTTAACAATAAAAAGTTTAAAACGTGAAAATACACCTATAATACATCATTTACCAATAAACAATTTAAAATGAGTTTTGTAGGATTTATATTTGATTCACTTAGTTAGCACAAGAATCGATTATACAATTATAGTATTTCGATCATACCCAAAAACAATTATAGTATTGATCACAATCATACAACTAAGGTCACGATTTTAAGTAGGGATGAACATATGGACCGGGGAACCGGTACCGGTACCGCAACCGGAACCGGAACCCGATGGAACCGGTCGGGCCGGGAACGAGACGTTATTTTTGTGGATTTTTGGAATTGGAAACCGGTAGGAACTGGAACCGATGTAACCGGAACCGTATAATGCTATTTTTCGAGGACCGGTTCCAACATTTGAAGACACCACAAGAACCGGTAGGAACCAGTAGAATCGGAACCGGTAGAACCGCAGGGCCGGTTAGGTTCTTGATTTTAGCCGAAGCCGGTTCCCGGTTCCGGTCCGGTTCAGTCCTTTTGCTCATCCCTAATTTTAAGAACCTTCGTCGAACACATATTGGACAAATTTATATATGTGGTTTATTATATTTGCGGTTAAATTTGTAAATTTTGATCAGGGTATTATTGTATTACATTATTTTTATTTTATAAAGAAAAAATATGGATTTTAATGGTTTTTTACTGTTTTTAAACTGTTATTTTAGCGACAGATATCGACGGAATTCTATCAATAAATTAGATTTAAATTCTCTCCAAAAATTGTCCCAAAACAAAATCCATTCCTAATATGTCATAAGAATATCTATTGTTAATTTGTGACAGTCCAATTTACGTTAGAATCACATACTAATCAGAAAACTTTATTGGAAATTTGTCACAAAATCAATGGGAAATCCGTCACAAAATTACCAATGCGGTTTTTCCAACGGATTATTTTATGTTGAAATACGGGAATGAGGTTTGCGATGGATTTGGCGGATGAAAATGCCTTTGTGATTGTGTCTAGTATCGCATCGTATCGGAGATGGTATGCCAAATGGCTTTCTCCTTTCATGACCTCATCAGGGAGACAATAGCCCAATTCCCCTTGATTAAACGACAATGACTAGGCGAACACTACACTATGGCTAAACAACCCCCCCAAGCCAAATGGCAAGCTAACCAGATCACGTAGTCTTCATATCCTCCGTCAACTTGGTCCAGACATTATACTTATATTTTATAAAACTTTAACTGGCATCTGCCATTTTATGATTTTTGTTAGAAAGTTTTAACATTTTCAGTATACTAGTTTATTTGACATTTTTTATGATTTTCGATTTTTGAGTTAGAACATTATCCTTTGAATTAAAATTGATATTCTGATTGAAGGAAAATAAAACAATTGGTTTAAATTAATGGTTAGATTACGTGGTTTTGATTTTAAACATGCCAATAAAAAATTAGTTAACGATGGCATTGA